GGGCCAGCGCATTTAAAAGGCAATCAGTTAAGAGTTTCTATAGGAGGCTGAAATCCCCTCTTCTTTGTGTAAAGGTTTGCACGATGTCTTGTCGCTAACTGGGGAGGTTCCGGGGCACATCTCAGGTGCACAGCTGGGTGTGCGCCACCAGGAAGAATACCAAGGTGCACGATGGCAACTCATCAATGAGCGGCAACGAACCTTAGGCCACAGCCGCCTTGGGTCTCCTTCTCAAGGAGAATGGTGGGATAAAAAATATTTTAAATAAATAGGATTCTGGCTGTCGTGTTTGGAGAAAGCAAGCGCCGGCCCTGCTCGCTGCCATTTCCAGCACCAGACGGCTGGAAAATTAAAGTTTAATCATTGCTCGCTACAACGTGCATATGGGAAAGTCAATTTTTATCTTACGCGTCGAGTTGCTTGTTGCTTTCTGCTCTCACCACTAGGTGGTTTGCAGAGATCCAATGCAACTGAAATCATGCCAACCCAAATCATGCTCAATCCTAGCTGGTTTCAAAAGCTAAGCAGGGTCAGGCCTGGTGAGTCTTTGGATGGGAGACCACAAGGGAATGCCGGGGACTTTCCAGGAAGAGCAGAGACAAGTCCTTCCAGAAATGCTGGAAAGCTTGTCCGTGAGGGTCCGGCCCACTGTCAGGTCCCTGCCTATGTTCTTAGGGGGTTCTCTTTAATGGTTAGGAACTCACGTTGATGAAGCTGACGTTAAGCTCTTTGGCCGTGTAGCCCCGCTGCAGGTTCCGCCGAACGTAGACGTCGTAGTCTCGGACGATGCGGGTGATGATGTCCGAGGTGGAAATCCCTTCGGTCCTCTGTGTCGGCGCAAACATTCCTGTGGCAGCCCAAGAAAGATCAGGTGCATTAGAAGGCCATTTACCTCCAAGTCAAGTCGATTTCCCCTGCCTCCCCCCAATCTCCACAGAGATGGCGACCGTGCAAAAGATGGAAATACTGTGGGGAGTTTTTGCAACCTCGCATGCTGTCTTTAGTAGGTTTGGCTGGGAGAGACCTTTCTGGGCAAGGCAGGGGTGGCTGCCCAGAAGGAAGGAAGGAAGGAAGGGGGGAGGGAGGGAAAGAGAGAGAGAAAAAGAGAGAGAGAAAGAGAAAGACTGAAAGAAAGAAAATGATGGGTCAGCCAATAGAGGAAATTGCACTTTGCTGACCCGTGGTTTAGATAAAGATCTGCCAGAGACTGAACCGGAAACCCTCCCTGTAGAAGTCAGGATCATGACTCGGGGTTCATATCAGTAGGAGGCCTTGCAATCTTGGCTCCCTGTATCCCATTTTATGCACAGAAAGTGGCCAGTGCCTGTTGCTTAGTGCCAACTACGGCAGACTCACGGACTCAGTGGGATTCAGTGCGTTAACTAACCATTCCATGGGGGATTCAACGGGTGTGCCCTCTCCTCGACGCGACCGACAGGAATGTGGCTGCCGTGTCTGTGCGCTACGGACAAGATTTGGAGAAGTGCCTTTTGGGGATGATGACTCCCAGAGTTGTGACGTGGTCGTGCTGGATGTGGAATCCGGGAGTTGGCAAAGAGAGCCCCACTTCTCTCCTTTTGAGCTTTACCCCCCTCTCTGTTGTCTGCTGGCATAGTAGTCTGGTGTAGTCTTTTGCGGTCAAACGGTTAAGTCTGTTGATGCCAGCTGTACAAAGCAATCATGTTTGTTCCTTTTGCTGTTTGATCTGTTCGGGCATATCAGTAGGAGGCCTTGCAATCTTGGCTCCCTGTATCCCATTTTATGCACAGAAAGTGGCCAGTGCCTGTTGCTTAGTGCCAACTACGGCAGACTCACGGACTCAGTGGGATTCAGTGCGTTAACTAACCATTCCATGGGGGATTCAACGGGTGTGCCCTCTCCTCGACGCGACCGACAGGAATGTGGCTGCCGTGTCTGTGCGCTACGGACAAGATTTGGAGAAGTGCCTTTTGGGGATGATGACTCCCAGAGTTGTGACGTGGTCGTGCTGGATGTGGAATCCGGGAGTTGGGGGAGAACATCTCAAAAGGCAGCCCTCCAGGCAGTCCTCCAAAGACAGTGGCTTTAGGGGCCAAACCCAGCACAGAAAACGTAGATGCATATTGAGATCCCATTATTTCCAAAATAATTATCTTTGCCTGCTGCCATCTTTTGTATCTGCTGTTCTAAGTTGTTCTAAGTCTTGGTTCTCTCTCTCTCTCTTTTTTTTGGGGACATTTTAATTTGATTACTATTGATTTTTTTGTTTTGTTTTGTTTTATGCTTACGCTGCAATATCCCAAGCCACCTAGAACAGTGGCCCGGCCACAAGCTGGGCCAAGCAAACATTCATATAAATAAACCCACCAGGTGGAAGAAGGCCTTCGTTCGGCCGGAGCACCTCCACTCACCAGGGCTCCCTCGGGGCCAAACATCTCAAGGAAGTTGCCGATGAACTCGCGAGATTTCTCTTCCCACTTCTGAATCAAGTCGATGCTTTTCTCTTCCACTTTCTGGACAAACTCCTTGGACTTCTCTTCCACGTCCTTCACCCTCCTCTTCACTTTGTCCACCCGCTCTTGTAGGTGGTACTTCTTCTCCTGAAAAAGGCACGGCGTTAGTTCCTCGGGGCCACACGGCCCTTGGGACGTTCCCCAGAAGGCCCAGGAGAAGCCCTTCTCCCCATCAGCAGAGGTTCTATGAATAGGCGTTCACCCTGCTGGCAAAATGTGGATTGTTTCCCAGCATTACAGGGGAGGAGGGCCTGGCAAGCTGAGCAGGGCGGAAAGCCAGCCCCAACCACAGATACACACCCTCCTCCAGAAATGAGCCTGAGACTTGGTTTCACATCCAAGAGTGGCCAGCGGTTCTGCCCCACCCCCGTGGTTTGGGGGTGGAGGGGCACAAAACAACCCCCCTCTCACACAGATGCAAGGATCCTTTTAAACAAAGGGCTTTATGAGAAAGGCAGCCCTCTAAAAAATGCCCGGGGTGGGGGTGGGGGATGATGCATACACCATGCGTCCTACCCACTGCTTGTTTAGAACCTTCCGGAAGATGTAGGGGTGGTGAAGGTGAATGGAGAAAAAAAACGGGAGCACCCGGAGGCCTTTTTGGCAGCCAGAAACTCTTCCCTGTCCTAACCTTTCTCCTGGCTTGCCAAGATGGATTGCAGCAGGTCTCGGATGTGGGGACAGGAAAGGAAAAGCACCATTACCCCCTTGTGCCCGTGTAAGCAGCCCGTCGGAGGGCCAGCTCATTTAAAAGGCAATCAGTTAAGAGTTTCTATAGGAGGCTGAAATCCCCTCTTCTTTGCGTAAGGGTTTGCACAATGTCTTGTTGCTAACTGGGGAGGTTCCGAGGCACATCTCAGGTGCACAGCTAGGTGCGCGCCACCAGGAAGACCACCAAGGTGCACAATGGCAACTCATCAATGACCGGCAATGAACCTTAGGCCACAGCCGCCTTGAGTCTCCTTCTCAAGGAGAATGGCGGGATAAAAAATATTTTAAATAAACAGGATTCTGGCTGTCGTGTTTGGAGAAAGCAAGTGCCGGTCCTGCTTCCTGCCTTTTTCCAGCATCAGACGGCTGGAAAATTAATTTTTAATCACTGCTCGCTACAACATGCATGTGGGAAAGTCACTTTTATCTTATGCATCGAGTTGCTCCTTGCTTTCTGCTCTCACCACCAGGTGTTTTGCAGAAACTCAACGCAACAGAAAATAAAGGGCCACCATCATCATGTTCAGTCCTAGCTGGTTTGAAAAGCTAAGCAGGGTCAGGCCTGGTGAGTCTTTGGATGGGAGACCAATTTGGATGGGAATGCCGAGGACTTTCCAGGAAGAGCAGAGACAAGTCCTTCCAGAAATGCTGGAAAGCTTGTCCGTGAGGGTCCGGCCCACTGTCAGGTCCCTGCCTATGTTCTTAGGGGGTTCTCTTTAATGGTTAGGAACTCACGTTGATGAAGCTGACGTTAAGCTCTTTGGCCGTGTAGCCCCGCTGCAGGTTCCGCCGAACGTAGACGTCGTAGTCTCGGACGATGCGGGTGATGATGTCCGAGGTGGAAATCCCTTCGGTCCTCTGCGTCGGTGCAAACATTCCTGTGGCGGCCCAAGAAAAGTCAGGTGCGTCAGAAGGCCATTTACCTCCCAAGTCAAGTTGATTCCCCATGGCTACCCAATCTCCACAGAGACGGCGACCGTGCAAAAGATGGAAATACTGTTGGGAGTTTTTGCAACCTCGCATGCTGTCTTTAGTAGGTTTGGCTGGGAGAGACCTTTCTGGGCAAGGCAGGGTTGGCTCCCCATCCCTAACCGCACTAACCAATAGTTCCTTCCCTGCCTCTAATTCAAAGAGAGTCCCACCTCTCTCCTTTTGAGCTTTCCCCCTCTCTGTTGTCTGCTGGCAACACCATAGTAGTCTGGTGTAGTCTTTTGTGGTCAACCAGTTAGTCTTTTGATGCCAGTTGTACAAAGCAGTCATGTTTGCTCCTTTTGCTGTTTGATCTGTTCAGGTGTAAGTAAAGAAACATGTTTTATTCTTTCTACTATCAAAGTCTCAGAGTGAGTTACTGAGATTGCAAGTGCAAGTTAAAGAGAGAAATGGGTAGGCGACTCTGGGGAGCCAGAAGCGCATCCTGCTCCTGTGAATCCCTCGCCCTTCTGTTGCACTGCTAGAGGAATGTAACCAAAATTCAAAATTCTGCAACAGACACACCATTTTCTTCCTAAGTGCCTGCAATAAGGATTGTGCAAATAATTAGGGGTGAAGTGGAGGGGCACTAAAGATTAAGACAAGGAACATGAATGTAATCTCTGTGCAGCATTCTTCCCCCTTCTCCCCAGATCTATGGATTTCCAGCTGATCCAAGTAGCCTCAGCTGTGGAGGTCCCACTTTGGAACCTGGGGTAACTGGGGAGCTTTGAATTCAGTTCAAGGTTCTCTCTAAGCTGCACAGCTGTGTGGGCGCATAGCGCTGCGCCTCCTCCGTGAAGCGTTTGTCCATTCACCAACAGCAAGCCTTTCCAGCCCCTTTGTTTCCGGTTGTGACAGAACCCTGCCAGTTCAAACGTGTGAGGGGTGGAGCCCTGCCGAATGGGACTGAGAATTAACAGGGAACTTTGATCCAGTTAACTCACTTTTGGAAAGCGGCTGCAAAACAGAGAATCACAGAATCGTGGAATTGGAAGGAGCCTTGAAGGACATCGGGTCCAACCCCTTGTTCAGTGCAAAACTCAAAATCGAAGGAGACCTGCCAGGGGGTTGCTCAAATTTCTCTTGAATGCCTCCAGTGTTGGAGCACTGAAATATTCCCTGCATAATGTATAAAAGGCCGGAAATTAAAAGCTAACTAGACAGGTTCTGAAACTCTGGTCCACAAGACCCCATTCACTGCAGGCTGAAGAAGAAAAAATTGGAAGATCTGGAAGTATCCAACACATGGCCCTTACTTTTTCTCTAATAAAGTGATCAAATTCTTGTTTGAATGACTACCAAAAAGCTAACAGGTCGGTGGTTTTCTTAGTATGCCCCTGGCACAAAGATATGCAAAGGAATTAAAGCCGTAGTCCCCAGCCTTGGGGAGCCTGTGTGTTTGTGGACTGCCATTCCCAGAAGCCTTCAGTATACCAGCTGTGTCGTTCGGGGTTTCTGGGAATCGCAGCTCAAGAATGCCCGGGTGACCCAAGGCTGGGAAACGCTGTTATTTGTGTTGTACTTTATGAAAGAGGAGCAACACAGGGGCCGGGTGTGTGTGTGTGCTGTTTCGACATGTGCCACCAACTCACCTGCTTCTTTTATGTGTTTATAGACATCGTCACTGCCGGCAGAGGAATATGGGATGTCGTCGTGGGCCACGAAATCAATCTGCAAGTTAGGCAACAAAAGTCTTTAGCAATATGGAAAGGGATGAGAGCAAAGGAAGAGAGGGAGAACCCGTGCCCGGCGTAACAGAAGCCGAGACAATTCAGAGAGGGAGGAACTGGCAAGAGCAGAGTGTGCAGGAAAGGGATCTCCAGAGTCCTGCGCTTGGCCATCGGCCAAATCTCTCTGCTGGCACGAATCTCGAGGGCAGGAGAAAGAGGGAGGCAAACTGACTCACTTTCTACAGTGGTCCTGCAAAATTCATAAACTGCCCCCTTCAGGAGAACCAAAGAATTGCAATAGCTGCGTGGGGGGGCGGGAGCACGGTTCTCGCACTGTCACTCCTGCCTCACACATTTCAGAGGGACTTTCTGAATACTTCCTCTTTACCCTGTGCTCTGGGGTGGCGCTGCAGGTTAAACCACAGAAGCCTCTGCAAGGTCAGAAGCTCCCATCGCTTCTTCCAGCTCCTGCCAACCTAGCTGTTTGGAAGCATGTAAAAATGTGAGTAGATAAATAGGAACCGCCTCGGTGGGAAGGTCACGGCATTCCATGTCTAGTCGCGCTGGCCACGTGACCATGGACGATTGTCTTTAGACAAACACTGGCTCTACGGCTTGGAGACGGGGGTGAGCACCGTGCCCTAGAGCTGGACACGACTGGACTCAATGTTAAGGGGAGCCTTTACCTACCCTGTGCTCAGCCAAGAACTCCGGGGTGAGCGTCCATGGGGCGTTCCTCACCACCTCGTCCACGTAGCGACAGTGCTGCACGGCGTCGTAGCGCTCTGCTTCGTTCATCACTGTGAAGCCCTTGAAGTTGTGCGTCAGCTCGTCGCTGCAGACTGCAGGGGTGGAAAGGACAGGAAGAACTCGAGTTACCCCAAAGTCTCTCGATCTCTTACAGCAAGAGAGCCCGTTCACACCTCTGCCATTATTCTTGGGGCTCTCCTCCTGCCCTGGAACATCAATTGGCGTGTGTGTGTGTCTCGTTCTCTTCTTTCTTCACAGCCACTATCAAAATCCACCCCTTCCCTGATGAATTTCAACCACCCACCCACCACCCACAGCTGGGATGGCTGAGTTGGAGAGGCGACCATCTTTCTCATTCAATGCAGGCATGGGGAACACGGAGCCTTCTAGATGTTGTCGGCATCCTGAACCTTAGACTTGTAGAGCTGGAAGGGGCCCTGTGGGATCATCCAGTCCAGCCCCTGTCAAGGGGGGATCAAACTCCCAACCTCTGGCTCCACAGCCAAAGATCTAAGCCCCTGAGCTATCCAGAATCCCATGCCTTCAACCTTTGAGGGGCTCATGTCTTTCCCAGCCTGATTTGATGAAAACATTAGCTTGTCCTGCCCAAGAAAGCCTGAACAGCTTGTGACAGGCACATCCGATGACCTCAATTTTTCTGCAGAAACGCTTTAGGTTATCAGTTGATTTCTGCCCAATGCTGGGTGAAGTCACACTTTTTGGACTGGGGGTGAGGAACCCCTGGCTACCCTGGTGGTCTGGACATGTTACGGGAAGCCAGATTTCGGCTGGATATGAAGAACAACTTCCTTAACTGTTAGAGCAGTACAACCATGGAATCCATGATCTCGGGAAGTGGCGAGCGCTTCAGCAACTGAGACACTGAAAAGGAAATTAGACAACCCCCTGGCAGATATCCTTTGGTTTGGATTCCTGCACCAAGCAGAGAGTTGGACTCGATGTGCTTCAAGATGCCTTGGATTCCTGCACCAAGCAGGGAGTTGGACTTGATGTGCTTCAAGATGCCTCCCACCTCCATGATTCTGTGACCTCAACTTCCAGAAGATCCAACCAACACTGGATTGTAAGCACTGTAGTCCATAACACCTGGAGGACCATCTGTCCCCTGTCCAGCTCCCTGGTTTTACTGATTTCAGGACGGCCTCTTTGACTTGGCCTGCTGGACAAGGGGCTCTTCAAATTGGAAGAGGCCATGATGCACCGCCTGCCGTCCAGGCTGAATGTCGTCAAATTGGAAGAGGCCATGATGCAATGCCTGTCTCCAGGCTGAACGCTCAGATATCAGAGTTTCCCATCTGTGGAGGTCCAATTCCTAAGGCCTTCAGATCTTGCTTGCAGATCTCCTTGTATTGCAGCTGTAGTCTCCCTCTGAGGCGATGTCCCTGCACTAATTCTCCATATAGGAGATCTTTCGGGATCCATCCGTCAGCGATTCTAATGACATGACCGAGCCAACACAGATGTTGCTGTTTCAGTAATGTATACATTGCTTTAGACAAGGCCTCTCTTAAGGGGTGACTCCTACGTAATGTGTTCTTCCTCTACAGGAAACGTTCTGCAAAGCATCCGTGCAAACAGCTGTATCTTTGCTTGTCAGATCCAGGTGGATTTTGTAGGTAGAAAGGGCAAGCAGGAGCAGGAAGCATCTAATCCCTTGGCTTGGGGATCAAGTCTGAAAATCCCATGTGTGGATTCAGGCAGAGGGTGTCATCTCGCTCTTATGAGTGGTTGTTGTTGGATCTATAAAAGTGGTCCCTAACCTTGGGCCTCCAGATGTTCTTGGACTACACCTCCCAGAAGCCCTCACCACCACCCCTACTGGCCAGGATTTCTGGGAGATGAAGTCCAAGAACATCTGGAGGCCCAAGGTTGGGGACCACTGGCTTAGATGACCCTGTCCAACCATCTCGTCCTCTGTCGTCCCCTTCTCCTCTTGCCTTCACACTTTCCCAACATCAGGGTCTTTTCCAGGAAGTCTTCTTTTCTCTTGCATTTATGAGTGGCAGCCTCACAGATTTGTCTGATTTCCTTTTAAAGCCACCTCCACGTCTCGTGGCGTTCAATTCCGTCAGCTGTCCACAGTATGAGAAAGGTCTTTCTCTCTGTCCGTTCTAAATCTGTTGTAGGTCAGTTTCCCTGGATAACGCCCTCATCACCAGGCTTTGGTGTTAGGCAAGTGGGAGGAAGGTTTCTCTCTCAGCACACCCTCGGTCTATCCGTCCCATGGTTCCCTTGACCAAACAATCCCCCACTGCCTCCCCCAGGGTTGGCCATGTTAACAAGGACTCTGCTTTACCTCCGACAATGAGATATGTATTAGGGAAGAGGTTTTTCGCCTGCATCAAGGCCCGGGCATGTCCAGAATGGAAGAGGTCAAAAATCCCATCAGCATAAACCCTGACCGGTCTGTCCACTGGGGGAAAAAAAAGGAAAGAAAAAGAACACGAATCAAGGTAAACACAAGAGGGGAAGCAGGTGCTTCAAAGGCTCCATGAAGCCTGGATCTAAGACCATCCCACAGCTTGGAAAAGTTACTTTTTTGGGTCTATAACTCTCAGAATCCTCCAGCCATCATCAGCACACTGTCTTGGGATGTATGTGTGGCATTCCTGGAGGTACCATCCAAAAAGGTTAATCTTTCCAAACTCCACAAACGTCACATTTGGGATTCCTGTTTACTTTCCTCGCGGTAAAGAGGCCTGCGCAGAAGAGGCGCCTAGGACGCCCTAAGGTCAGAGGTACCAGTCCTCTGGGCTGCAGAAAAATCCTGACACCCACAGTGACCACGTGGGCCCTCCCTCAGATACACTTCCCTCCCGCAAGGGAACAAGCAGCATCCATCTTCACATAGGACGACAGCGTCCCACGAGGCCTGTGTAGAGCTTAGAATGATGTGGTGAGGTTTGTAGACACCGGGAACCGTCGAATGAAGAGACTGAAACCTGTAGCCTTTTCAACCCCCAAACTAAGCTGTGACCCTTGCCGCCGAAGGCTGAAAGAGGAACGTCTGGACCCCGAGGTTGATCTAGTGAGATTTCGGGGCATGAGATTTTTGAAATTCATGGAAGCCCTCAGAGGCCTGCAATAATTCTCCTGGCCAAACACCTGGAGACTTGGGCTAAAAAACAACAACAACACCCCATCCTTTCAAGTGTCTGGAATCGCCTGCAGCTGAAAAATAATGGCTTCTCTCCGATGAGATGGTGGAAGGAGCTGTTTGGGTCTACGTTACTTACTTACTTACTTACTTACTTACTTACTTACTTACTTACTTACTTACTTACTTACTTACTTACTTACTTACTTACTTACTTACTTACTTACTTACTTACTTACTTACTTACTTACTTACTTACTTACTTACTTACTTACTTACTTACTTACTTACTTACTTACTTACTTACTTACTTACTTACTTACTTACTTACTTACTTACTTACTTACTTACTTACTTACTTACTTACTTACTTACTTACTCACTTACTCACTTACTCACTTACTTACTTAACTGAATGAATGAATTTCTAGCACCATCTGGCAACCAGGCGACTCTGGGCGCCTAACAACAATATAAAGATTATAATATTAAAAACACAACAAAAATAAATTAATACATGATTAGGGAAATTAAAACAGATGGCAGTAAAGTTGATTTAAAAAGGGATGATGGAGAAGATGGCAAAAAGAATGGTAAAAAACAGAGGGCGAGACCCTAGAACTCCGGAAAAGCCTGGTGGAAGAGCCAGGTCTTCAATGCTCTTTTGAACCCATCCAGCGAGGGTGCCAGGCGGATCTCCATGGGCAGGTTGTTCCATAGGTGGGGGGCAACCACCAAGAAGGCCTGGCTTCTTCTTTCCCTCTGGGCCTCCTTCGGGGTCAAGGCCCTCAACCGCCCTGCCTGTGAGGAATGGGTATTACAGACAGATCTGGCTGGCAGCAGGCGGTCTGATCGGTCCCATGGTCCTAAACCGTTGACGCCTTTGAATGTTATCATCCCAACCTTGATGATGCAGAAACAAAGTGGTAACCCGGTAGCCAGGGTGGGGTAGATGTGCTGGAATTTCTTCCCCCCAGTTATTAATCTGGCCGCCGAATTTTGGACCCATTGAAGTCTCCGCATCAGCCTCAACGGTAGCCCCACGGAGAGAGCACTGCAGTAGTCTATTCTTGAGATCATGAGGGCATGGATCAGCGTCATGAGCGCCCCCGTGTCTAGACAGGGATGCAGCTGGGCAATCCTCCGGAGAGGGAAATGGGATGCCCGGACCACAGAGGCCATCTGGGTTTCCATGGTGAGATTCCAGGTGCAGGCAGATGCCCAAGCTGAGAACCTCGCTCTTCATGAGAAGTCATTCCCCCCTAAAAGAGGGAGTTTCCCAACCCACTGATGCCGGGGCCGCCCACATGCAAGATTTCCGATTTGTCCAGATTCATGGAATCCAGACAAGGCACTCTGAATCTGGTAGTCTCCCTGCCTATTAATACAGGGTCCCTCTCAGAAAACCACCGGATCCATATGGAGATGGAGATCCCAGTTTGCTTAGCCCTGGCTACCCACTTCCTCCGTCTTCCTTGCATCGGACAGAAGCCATCATTTCTCAGCTGAAAGTGATTACAGACACCTGAAAGGACTGGGGTTTTTTAAACATTTTTAAATTTTACTTTTTAGCTACCCCCCTCAGAATTCCTGCAGGTTTCTGGGGACTTGTGATTCCAAAATATATGAAAATCTCACACCTGGTGGCGACTTCAGGGATGCTAAGCAGGGTCATGGAGCATGTGTGGGCCGGCCACCCATCGCCATGGCCAAAGGAGGAGCTGCGGGGAAACCAGTAAAGCCGATTTCCTGCACCAATAGGTCAGGTTGGGTCAGGCCAGATCAGGCAATATGCCTTGATCCTTCCAAAAGCCTGCTTATTGTTCGGAGCCACGAGGGACTTGCTCTGGGTAATTCCTTCAACCATTTTCCCAATCAGCTGCACAGGAGCCCACCCCCTCCCTCCTTTCCGGATGGAACAAAGCGACCGTTATCAAGCAGACTTAGTCTCCCCTCCGGCGACTTCACTGCTGCTAGTGGGGAGATTATGGGGATTTCGTATCTTTGCTATGAAAGTGAGGCTGGGTGAAGGGAAGGTAAGCCTCTGCCCTTTATAGCCGGCCAGCATAAGGAAACCTTTTGCATTTCTCTACTCCCACTAGGGATCAGAAAGGAAAAAAACTTTGCTGACACTTCGTTAAGGAGGGTGGGAAAGACAGTCGAAAGCGGTGCCGGCTTTTCTTTCACAAGGCAGGATTAAATGGAGCCATACACCGTCATGCTTTTAAACAATGGTCTGGCTTCGGGAGAATGAGCTGTATTACAAACATTAGATTTAAAAAAATTTATTCTAAGAAAGAGTAATTTTGATAGCCTGCAATGGCAGTTCCCAAGGTTTTTGGCACCGCACACCCTTTGGATTGTTGCGAAAGCGTCAGGCCTCTCTCCACTTCCTTTTATGATCATTCGACCCACTTTTCAACTAAGTTTACAATTTATAATTAAAAATAAACCTCCAGTAAACAAAACTGTTTTAAACTAAAAAAATAAGCACCAACCAAGTTTTCTTGCTATCAAAAAACTCGCCATGAAAAAGTTAATAAAAATGAAATACACCTTAAGAAATAGGTAAAGGTAAAGGTTCCCCTTGACAATTTTTGTCCAGTCGTATCTGACTCGAGGGGGTGGTGCTCATCCCTGTTTCCAAGCCGTAGAGCCAGCATTTGTCCGTAGACAGTTTCCGTGGTCACGTGGCCAGTGTGACTAGACACGGAACGCTGTGACCTTCCCACCGAGGTGGTCCTTAATTATCGACTCGTATTTTTACATGCTTTCAAACGGCTAGATTGGCAGGAGCTGGGACAAGTGACAGGAGCTCACTCTGCCGCATGGATTCAATCTTACAATGGCTGGTCTTCTGACCTTGCAGGACAGAGGCTTCTGTGGTTTAACCCACAGTGCCACCACGTCCCTAAGAAACTTACGATGGCTGGTCTTTTGACCTTGCAGAGGCTACTGCGGTTTAACCCACCGTGCCACCATGTCCCAGGGACAAAACAAATCTGGCACAGTAACCCACAGTGCCACCACGTCCCTAAGAAATACCAGGGACAAAACAAATCTGGCACAAAGGATGATGAAAACCTTGCTCCTGGTCCTGGAATTTTAGCAGAGTGAGCCCTGGAGTCTGGAAGCCAATGCTCTAGAGTAGAGAGAGGTTCCCAAACTTGGGTAATGCAGGTGCTCACCAGCTTTGCTGGTGAAGTTTCCTGGGAGTTGCAGCTCAAGAACATCTGGGGTCCCCGAGGTTGGGAACCACTGCTCTACAGAAACGCAATGTCCAGGGCAAAACAGCACGAGGAAAATGGCCACCCCCAGGAATTAAAAAAAAAAGAGGAGGCACATGGGTGGGAAACCCAGAATTTGATGGGGGAAATATGGACTGCAACTTCCAAAATCCCCATCCAGCTTGGGCCGTGGCTGGGATGATGGGGCTTGGACATGGGGAGATGGAACCTGAAAAGTGCCATCTCTAATTTCTCCAGAAAATTGCTCCTCTTTATCCTTAATCGCAAGGACTGCAACTCCCAGAAGCCTTCACCGCTTAGCTGTGCTGGCAAGGGCTTCTGGGAGTCGCAGTCCAAGAACATCTGGGGAGCCAAGGTTGGGAGCTGCTGCAGTAGAGCACAAGGTGGTTCTGACTCCCGGGTGGAAGTCTTGAGCCTTTAACGCCAACTTTACCATCAGCCTTTCTGCCCCAAACCCTCAGCGTCACAGACTGGCTTGGACACACCCAGAGGATGTAGGGGCTGGGGTCACCATCACCATCATGCAACTTCAGAGCTAGAAGGGACCTTATGGATCATCAAGTCCAGACCCTGTCCAAGGAGCGCAGAGGTTGAATTGAACGTCCCACCTCTGGCTCCGGAGGCAGTGCTGTGAAAATGAAGCGCACCCAATGGAATCCAGGCAGGCTCCTCGGAGGAGTACTTACGCGGAGTCCCTTTCATTGCCTCCTCAAATGTTACACGGGCGTAAGGCTTGCTGTAGTCCACTTCAATCTCATCGGAAAATGGAGCCGGTTGCTGGAGCCCCTGCATTTGAAAGAGAGACAGAGGCAACAGCTTGCCTGGGGGTTGCTTTGAGGTTTGCACCTGTACCAGGACGTGACCGAAATTGGGAATGGCCAAAGGCTGCACCGGCTGTGGCTTCCGGGAGTTGCAGTTTAAAAAACAAACAAACCCAAGTGTCTCAAATGCCAGCCAAAACAGGCCCAAGAGGACAGAGCGTGGTTAGCATTTATAAGTGGAAAATCAAAGCATGAAGTGATGGTGGAATGAACCAGCTGGATCTGAACCTTTGACATCTTAAAGGCGGGCACGGCCATCCGGCCACCCTACTGGACAAGAACACTCCTGTGAGGAGCTGAGGCTATACTGCAGCATTCTGTTGCAGAGCCCACCTTGTTCGGAGGACCCCTGATTTCAGGACAGACGTTTCCAACCCCTTTGCATTTGGAGTGGGAGGCGTAGGATCAACATGTGAGTCAGGAAAGGTGAAAAGGGCAAAAATGATCTCCCGGGAGGGAGGGAGGGAGGCTTCAGTGCTTCTCTGCGGAGATTACTGGCAAGCCTTGATCTCGGATGACAGCTGGAATGACGGCGGTAATTTGCGAGCCTGCTCTGGGAGGGGCCGGAGGGTGTGATCACATTATGGATTTAAGGCAAGGTACAGGATTACGGTTTCACTGAAGCCAAACCCTTCTCTCTAGAGCTCCACATGGGCCAAACAGCTGCTGTGGGTGCCTCCGGGAAAAAAAAGAGCACCAGAAGCTGTTGCCACCTGGATCGCTTGGCTGAAATAAATCCGTTTTCTCGGAAACATGACCCCAGCCTTCAAGCCGATGAGTCGGACTCCACCTCTTAAAACCATTTTTCAGAATCTATCCCCAAGCATGCCAGGCCCCCTTCCCCACCATCTCTGTTTACATCACAGACAGCCCTGGAGGCTCAGTGAACATTTTAATTTGTTTATTTATTTCTTACATTTACAGAACGCCCCTTGAAGGCGATAACACTATTCTGGGCGGTTTATAAAAGTAGTAAAGGACAGTGACGATAACATACAAGTACATACTGAAAAGTGAAAACATCGAGTGACTAAAAAACAAAAGGCGCCAACCGGCAAATTCTCCATAAAACAGCCAGGCTAGAGGTAAGGG